CGGCTGCTGCGCAACGTCACGGGACGGAGGAGTGAGGTTCCTTCAAATGTATTTTATTGCAGTAAAACCTCTAAAAGGTGGAGCTGTACAAAAAGTCTAAACAGCATTATTTAAGAATAACAGCACCTTACGCTGTATTTGTTCTTATTTAAAATTCTATTTCCCAAAAATACGTTCCTAAATATACAAACTATACAATCTTGTCACTTTAATGCTGGTTTCTGTGATGATATAACTTTAAGCTAAAAATCTTTAAAACATCCACATACTGACAAAAGCTCTAATGTACAAATGCCTTGGTACCTTCATAATACCACATAAATAACTTCAAGAAACAAACTGCATTTGTGGAATGGTCCCAAAAACAAATACTTCATGGCGATCACACATCGTCCGCAGAGAGCGTTGGAATGTTTATCCTCGGCCGCGTGAAAAATGCCATTTTCTCTCTAAAAAGAAAACAATCAATAGTTAATACAACACAATTCCTGCCAGAAACGTCTACCATTTACATTAAATCCTCTCAACCTACACCACCTGTTTACATATCAGACATGAGGCACCATCACAGCTAAACTTACAACAGGAAAAACAAAGGGCTGTTCCTGTATTAAAGGAAAGATCTGTAAATTTGTTGCCAGGTAGGGAATGATTTGGGTTCTCCTCTATTGCTTTGAGGTTACTTGCAGCCCTGCAGCTCATTTCCCTGACCCTGACATCTTATACTTTGATGTAAAGTCACAAAAATCTTAGTTTAAGCAGAACAGTTTACTAGTACTACCACAAATATTAGCTTTCTGTATCAGCATCTTAGTCATCCACAGAAAAATCATAGGAAGCACGCAGTCTTTCCTCCACTTTACAGGTGCCCCTACCTGAATGACTGTACTTCCAAAGGCTCCTTCCGACTCTGTCCTCGTAGCCTGTGCACATCCTTGGCAGCTGCTCTCATCATTTTATCCGCTTTGAGCTCACACTTGTGTTCTGTTTTTTCCGCCTAAATGAACAATGGAAGAAAGCTGTATGCGTTCCCATAAGGAATCATTTCATACCAACAAACTTCTAAATACAGCAAGGTCATTCAGCTGTAGGTTTAAGCGGTTTGGAAACAGCTCACTGGAATCACAAGCCACAGAAGCTAAAATGAAGGCTTTTCAGCTAAGGTAACCACTGTGTAATGCAGAGACAGCTTTTTATAAGTGTTCTTCCAACCCTTTGGTAAGAATTATGGCTGCTATGGACACTTTTCTCTTGCAAGTCTTTTTTTTACATGGGCTCAAGCAAGGACACAGCAACCCCTGTTCCAACTCCACCCCAAAGAGCATCTGGCACCAACTCACTACTACACCTGGTGCCAGCATAACGCTCAGTTTCTGCCTAGTGTCAGCAGAGGTGCCCCTGGCAAATCACAGCAGTTGGGAAGGAGCCTTGTACACTTGGGAGAACATCATGCAGACAGAATAAGGTAAGACATGACACACTGCATCTACTACAGATTGGGAGGGGGAAGTTTAAAATCAGATGGCATTTGTAACTTCTCATATATGCGCCTGTGTAAAGGCAGGAAGCCTCTGTGCTTGTAAATGCATGTGTTCAAGAGGAAAACTCTGCACTGGAAGTTAAAAGAGGGGAGAGAAACTCGGGCACAGAACTGTGTCTCTAACATCTAAGGGACAATCAGCTACAGAATAATCCTTATTTTGGAAAAAGCATGAGCGAAAGCCCACCTTGCTCATCATTCACCAGGGCTATTCAGATATTTCTGCAGCTTCTGTCTCCTTTCCATCCCTGCTCTGCAGTACACCCTTCATAAACAGCAAGGTAGAAACTACCTTATTCTCTATTAAGCTCTTAAAATGAGCCAGAAAATCTGCTATCATCTAACTTACATCATCACTTTGTATGCATTAAAATTCACAAACAACATTTTGAAAACACGTCATACTGAATATCCCCCCTTCTAGCTAGCCAAAAAGATAAAAAATACAGTTGGAAACATTTGTACGGTGTTACACTTCATACATGTTGCCCTTCTTGCAACTCTCTCATTCTGGAAAAATAAAGGTTATAAAAATGTTCATCCGACTTATTTATACTTCAAATTCTGTTGGTTTTTTTGTGAAGCTCATGTCTGAGTACCTCCGTGCTTATGGAGCAACTTGACAGAGCTAAGTAACACTACTTTCCAGAACGGGCACTCTGCAGGTACACACATGCTTGCATTAGCAAATTAATGCAAGTGGTCTTAGACCGCAAACATCAACACCCTCTATTATATGTGAAAAATCAAAGTGAAAGGCATTTGCTGCTTGCTTCTCTTTTTTTTTTTTTTTAAATCATTTATATCTGCAATTCTCAACTTTGCTGGAAAGTGCATGTAAATCCTCTTTCAGTTACATGCTGCACAACAAGGGGGATCCGACTTCTGTACGAGACCACGTAACTTTGAATAGTAAAGGATTCTCTTCTAAAGCCCAGCGTCACCCACGCGCAACTTCTATGCGGACGTTATTTCTCTTAGAAGGAGCAAAGGACTTCAGGTGCTGTGTTCCTAACCTTCAAGTTTATGGGAAGGCAGGAACAGACTCTGCAGTTTGTAAATACTACAGTTCAGCACATCTGACAATAGCCAGACACTCACCAATGACCGTAACTTTCATTATCAACAGCTGGCTTGATGGAGCCGTAAGACCGGGAAGATGAGGGACTGTAGCACTAAGGTTTAATTTCCTGCCTGCTGAAAGTGATCTTTCGTA